TTTCCTATCTTTTTAATGACCTTTTACTTCTTCATAAATATGATGTTCTTGATGCCATCTCACAGTTCTTCTGGTCTTCAGTCATTGGTGTCTAATGCATCAAATGAGTTCCTGAGATGGTTTCTAAATTCATGTGGGACACACTCAAGCTCATTTTTTGGCTCTTGTGGTGGTGGTGGTTATGTGCCATGGAGTCAGTTCCAACTCATAGCGAGTCTGTACAGGGTTTCTGAGGCTATAAATCTTTACAGGAGCAGAAAGCCTCATCTTTCTCCCGCGGAACAGCTGGTAGTTTTGAACTGCTGACCTTAAGGTTCACAGCCCGATTCATAACCACTATGCTACCAGTGCTCCTTTGGCTCTTGTAGACTTACTTAAATTTTCTTCAGCTTCAGCGTGAACTTGCCTATGAGTAGTTGGTAATATGTCTCACAGTCTGCCTGGCCTTGTTTTGCCTGATGATATTAAGCTTGTTCACCGTCTCTTCCCACAGATGTATTGAATTTGATTCCTATGTATTCCATCTGGTGAGGTTCCATGTATATAGTCACCATTTATGTTGTTGAAAACAGGTATTTGCAATGATTAAGTCACTGACCTTGCAAAATTCCATCATGTGAGCTCTAGCATGGTTTCTATTACCAAGGTCATATTCTCTAACTACTGATGCTTCCTCTTTGTTTTAAAATTTCCCATTTTAATCACAAATAATTATCATTTCATCTATATTACATATTTGATCAAGTTTAGAATGAAGAAGTTGACAGGATTTGTCAATTTCAATGTTCTTGGATTTAGTGGTTGTAATATAAATTTGAGTAATGGTGACATTAACTGGTATTCTTTATTGTTGTTGTTAAGTGTCATTGAGTCTGTTCTAGCTCATAGTGACCTCTTGTAGGGTTTTCAGGAAGCACCTGGTATATTTGAACCTCTGACCTTGGGTTAGCAATCCAGTGCTTACCCCACAGTTTCACACCAGGATGCCTAGAAAGTGTTCACTGCCCATCACTCTTGATTATTATTCTATTGCAGACAGCATTGTGCTTTAAGATAGATCTTGAAATACTCTTTTTGACAATGAAGCTGTACTATACCATTCCTCTTCAATTTGTCATTGTCAGCAGAGAAAACCTTATGATACCCAATTCAGATTGACTAATACCAGTCCAAGGAACTCTGGTAGCGTAGTGGTTACGAGTCAGGCTGCTGACCTCAAGGTCAGCAGTTTGAAACTACCAGTGGTTCCACGGGAGAAAGATGAGGTGTTCTGCTCCCATAAAGATTTACAGCCTCGGAAACCCTGTGCAGGGTCACTATGAGTCGGAACCGACTCCACGGTACTTAACAACAACAACAACAACAGTCCATTTCAGCTTACCTAGGATATTAATCTTTATGCTTTACATTTGATTTTTGGCAGATTATGATAAGCACTGGACTGAAAACTACAAGGTCTGTAGGGTTTGAGCCCGCCAGCTGTTCTGTGAGAGAAAGACAAGGCTTTCTACTCCTGCAAAAATTTAAAGCCTTGGAAACCCTATACAGGGTCACTATGAGTTGGAACTGACTCAACAGCACTTCACAACAGCAATAATTTTCCTAGATTTATGCTTTGTACATTCCACATTCCAATTATTAATGGCTGTGTGCAACTGTTTCCTCTCATTTTGAGTTGTGTCTCATCAGAAAATGAAGGTCCTGAAAGCTTTACTCCATCCATGTCATTAAAGTGAACTCAATTTTGAAGAGGCAACTCTTCCTCAGTCTTATTTTGTGTGCCTTCCCATCTGAGGAGCTCTTCTGGCACTGTATCAGACAGTATTTCATTGCTATTCATAAGGTTTTCAGAGGCTAACAAATTCAGAAGTGGTTTGCCTCTCTTTTATCTTAGTATTTCTTAATCTGGAAGATCTGCTGAAACCTTTCCACCATGGGTAACCCTACTGATATTTAAAATGCCAGTGGCATTGCTTCCAGTATCATAGCAACTCACAAGCCATTACAGCATGAAAAACTGACAGTTGAGTGGTGGATAATACGTCCTGGTGTGGTGCTGTAGGTTAATGCGCTGGATTGTAAAGTCAGTTTGAACCTCATGGTCGACAGTTTGAGTTCACCAGTCACTTGCAGGGTCTCTATGGGTCGGAACTGACTCGATGGCACTTAACAACAATAATATGTATATATGGTGGGTTTGAACTGTCTACCGTGTGGTTCACAGTCCAGCGCTGATCATATATATATGTGTGTGTGTGTGTGTGTGTGTGTGT